GGTCAATGAACTCTACCCAGCCACAAGGACCAGTGATCCCTGCACACAAAAGACCGGCTAACAACACTAATCAATCACAGTGACAGATCATCTCTCTCCCTTATCACAACAATACACCCACAACAAAAACACACTGATCACCATAATCATCCAATCTCCTGAAAAGGACAAAAGATGATCCCACAGCTATAAATACTCAACTATCTAACAAATTGCAACAGAGCACAGACAGAGTTCTGACTCCTGTCCTCTGAAGATACCGGCCACAGAGACTGGCAAAAGGTCAGGGAAGAAAAACCTTCAGAACACGGCCAAACAGCCCGGAAAACCCACAACAACCATCGGATCCCGGCCGTGAAAGCCTTTGAGAATACGCAATATTTAACATTGAAAACAATGAGTATAGAATGGTGTTTCTCATCTTTAGAAGGCAGTATTTAAAAATTATGAACAATGAATTAGGAGGTATCTCACATCAATTAACAGGCAATATACAGTAAAGGCAAAGATCAATAAGGATACAGTTTTTTAAAAAAATATCACTTTGAGAGGAAAACACAAGTAGTACTAACAATCCAGTCAAAGCAGTAATGCATAACAATCTATCTAAAAATCACACACAGGTAGCTGGTTAATGAGGGAAAGCTTGCCTGAAGAGAAAGGTCTTGGCCTGCTTGCAGAAGAATAGCAAAGATGGGGCCAGTCTGGTCTCCTGTGGGAGAGAGTTCCACAGTCTGAAAGTTTATGCTTACGTATAACAGAAAGAACAGGAAAAACAGCATGGAAAGAAAGATATTTTACCTTCAGCAGCTTTGCAAAAAGGGGAATTTTGGCAGATGCAGCTTCTCTCATACCTTCATAACAAGCTGTATCAGTCAAAATTCATCCCAGCTCTGTGGATGCAGCTATTTCAAAAGGTCTATGAACCCCGTGGTTCTTTGCATCCAGAAACCCAGGGAAATGAAGATGAAAGATAGGAAAACAGAGTAAGAGAAGTAAATAGAAGTAGGTACCGTGAACTGGGGGCAGGAGGAAAGATAGATAGAATGAGGGTGTTGTTTTCATCTTTCCTATCACTGTGTTCAATTTCTGTGAGATCACATGAAACACTGGGCCAATTCAAAAAAAAAAATTCACCCAAAATTAATGCAGCTGGACTTCTGAGAACAAAATACAAAAGATGCACAACCCCCAGCTTAGCAGCTGGACAGTGTGTAGCTACTGTAGAAATGATCTCACACACTCCCACACAATCCATGCCAGCCAGGACGGAGAGCAACTGCAAGAGTGAAAGCCGGAGTCCAAAAGAGCTTGGTGTTTCTAAAGTTATTCCATAACTTTGAGCAAGGCTGTCGGTTACGAACAGGAATTGAGGTTCTCATTGCATCTCACTGTTTATTTCAGATGGGAGGAGGGACGCAGGACACAGTACAATACAAATTTATTCTACAGCCAAAGGCCCGATAAGCGGGACACACTAAGCTGGACACACGGAACTATTTTAAGAATAGCTTCCTAGATTATTTACACATCGAAAGAAATAATTTAGGTCTTGCTAAGAAATGGTAGTTTCCAAAGGAAGGTTTTGAAATGTCACCCTAACTCTACAAGAAGGAAAGCTGTGAAGTTTCTCTTTTTACACAGCCATGGTCTTGGAACATAAATATACTGTATCCCATCTCAGCTACAGTAACTTTATGTGGATATACCTGCCCTGGTTAGGTCTTCCTCATTTCTACTTTAATTCTGGCATTTTGCACTCTGATCACTTGACAACAACAACAACAACAACAACAAAAACCTTAATTCTTGTTGAAAAAGGACAAATTTTCTAGATCTTACTAGAATTTTACAGATTTAAAGAGGCAAGTAAAAGTATTCCATTTTGCAACTCCCAAGACTCCTGGTGAAGCACAGCGTGCCTTGTAATTCAATGTAGCAAAACAAAATACATACAAAATCATATCCACAAAATCATATCCAAATATAAACAGTTTAAAATGTGAACAATTCCCTCCCACAGGAGGCCAGTCTGACCCCATCTTTGCTGTCCTTCTGGAAACAGGTAAAGACCTTTCTCTTCAGGCAAGCTTTCTCTCAGTAACTAGTTACTTGTGTGTGATTTTGTTTTCACGGATGGATTGTTATGCATTACTGCTAGAGATGGGGGTATTTGCATTCGTATGCGAATACGGATACCCCGCTCAGATGGACATCACAAGGGTTCGGGCCCCTGGGGCCAGACCGTCCACTCACCTGTTCGCTGCTGCCGTGGGCTCTGCGCTCCCTTGCCATCACTCCAGAGTTCGCGGTCAACTAGCCACTCGTCAGTCTGGCAGGGAGGCTCACCATCCCACCTCCTGCCAGGAGTGGCTAGTCGACCACAAACTCCGGAGCGATAGGAAGGAAGTGTGGAGCCCATGGCTGCAGCGGACATCAAATGGACAGTCCAGCCTCAGGGGACTGGACCCTCATTATATTTATCGCAGCGGACATCAAATGGACAGTCCAGCCTAAGGGGGCTGGACCCTCGTTATATTTACCTGTGGGGGTATTCGTATACAAATACCCTCACCTCTAATTACTGCTATGACTGGATTTTTAGTACTACTTGTGTTTTCCATTTTTGCCCTTTGCTTTCCTCAGAGTGGCATTTTTTCTTTTAAAAATGCATACTTATTGTTCTTAGCTTTAACAGTGTCTTTTAACAATGTAAGACGCCTCTTCCCTCATTGTTCTCAGCTTTGAATATTATCTTTTAATGATGTTAACCACCGTTGTATACTCATTGTTTTCAAACTCAAATATTATCTTTCAATGGTGCAAGTCGCCTTGGGTCCTTTTCAAGGAGAAAGGTGGGGTATAAACAAACAAACACACACACACACACACACACACACACACACACACAAACACACACAAATAGGGAAAACAGATTAAAATGCACACTTTTAGGGAAAACACAGCCACAATAGGTGTAGCTGCACAGGACGAATAGAGAGAATCTTGCAATTGTGAATGCAAACAAAGAATGGGAGAAATATGCAGGTGGGATGTAGAGAAATGCAACAAAAGAGGGGCTCAGGGTTTAATTAGGATAAAATCATAATTGCTTCCACATTTCCAGTCCATGTTCTTTCCTGTAGCAGGATGGGCAACATATGACCATCCAGATGATGATCCTATTAGTCTTTACTATACTGACAGTGGCTGGTGAGACTTGCAGTCCCCCAAGACCTGGAAGGCTGCAAGCTGTCCACCACTGCAGTAGGAAAAAAAAGGGGGTAAATGGATTGTAGACCTCACAACTGCACAGCAACCATCCACAGTGCTCAGCAGGGACACAGGCCACAACTGCAGAGCTCCAGAAAGACGGCCTCTCATAACACTGCTAGAACAGCATCTTGTTTTCGAATGCAGGTAAAGGGGAAAAAAGAGAGGAGTGTCAATTTGGCTCCATTCCTTTTGTGACTCATGTGGGGCTGCAGGGGTTACCTAGCAGTCAGGAAATTGTGGCTCATGTTTGATTACCATCACATCATTCAGATTCCTTTTGTTTTCACTTGCCCTTGCGCAAAAAAGGTTCAGCTGTAAGCTTCTGACTGCAGGAAGCAGACACTGATGTTTGCTATCTTCAGCATCACTTGCACTAAGTTCTTGCAGTGGGCTGCTTATATAATAGCTCGGGACAGTGACTAAAGGTACATAATGATAAATCCTTGCTGGAGCTAAGTACGGATTTAGGGACTCCGTGGATAGGATACTCATTGGGAAATTCAGTAAGAGAATAGGAAGGCAGATGTCAGGAAAACCCCCACCTCTGGGGTTTTTCCTCCTTTTAATTAAAACCAAAAGGTCAGCTAACAAAGCTAGGCACAGAACTGCAGCTGGAGGGTACAGCCAGATGTGAAGCGCAGTCAATTGTTTGAGTCATGAACTAGTCAACCTGCAAAATTTCAGAACTGGGCAGCCCAGCTGCAAAAAGTCCTAATCAGAGTCAACACTGGGTATCAAGGAGAAGTAAGTGATCAAGCCAACAGAAATGACTAGCTTGTTGTTCCTTCTGAGTAAAAAGCTGTTGCAAACCCATAGCAAACTACCCAGTTATGTAATAGCTAACGCTGACCTCGCTTCAGCCTATCCTGCGCTAGAAGTAAGATGGGGGAGACTGATGTTAGAGGTAATAAAATAAAATGCATGCATGGCAGACAGCCTTTCCATAGGTACAATAAATTACTTCCATCTCTCCTACTATCCAGAGATTAAGATTTAGAAAGAAACCCCAAGATTTAGAAAGAAATGCATGCAAACCAGCTCCACCTCCTCCATCTTTAAAAATCCAGTTAAAAATTACTCCACAGCAATGTCTGAAATACTTATTGCCCTGTAAAACTATGAAGATAAATGAGTTGATGTAAACACATTTTAGCTGAATTTCTAACCCATGCAGTCCCACTAAATAAGAAATCTATCAAGCACACGAACAAAAAAATCCTGTGCCTACTTCAAATGAGCCGCAGAAAGCTTTTCAACCAGATTAAACCGTGCTTTGCAGTATTTTACAAAAGTATTATATTTGTATGTGATTTAAGCGTGTGACAATATAAAGGCTAAAGCACCCACAGGTGATCTAAAATAGTAATTTTGCTTACAACTTCTAAAAAACAGTTTGATTATTTTCTCCAAACACTTCTAATAGACAGTAGGCTGATTTGATATAAATTGTGGAACTAAAAAGTGGTAATTTACATGTAGATCAATGCTAACTATGTTTACTTGAAGCAAGTCCCATTTTAAAGTAAGTTACTTGAAAATGGTCCTAAGTCCTAAGTTGCCAAGTGCTGCTTTATCACACATCAATTTCACCTCCTTTCACAAAACGCAGGATCATAGAATAATTGAGCTGGAAGGGGCCTATAAAAGCCATTCAAGTCTAATCCCCTGCTCAGAGTACACACAAAGAATAGCAGAACAGTTTGCAATTTGAAATGATCATTTACCTCTCCTTAGTTTATCCTTCTTTAACTTTTCTTTTCTTGTCCTGTCACGACTGCCGTTTACAGCCTTGGTCCTCATTGAATACAATCCTTTATTTTTAGTTCACCGCATAATAAGCAACACGAGCATGCCCGTTCTGCACACATGACAAGAAAAACTCAAAGCAAACGGGCAAAAAGTGTGTTTCTTTCCTTTTGTTGGAAAGCTGGAGCTTCAGACAGCCCAGTCTCTTTTGAGTCCTCATCTCCACTTATTGTAAACACTGAGCCCAATGTTGCCACACTCTACGGGCTAGAGGTTTTGAGAACAATGATCTTATTTGTTGAGTGCGAAGTATCTTTCGAGGGAGCCACGCAAGTGTTCTCCACACATCTGCCTACACTGCCAGCATTCCAGCTGAGAAGAAACAAGAAGATTTCAATGCGTACTGTTTCACAAAAGACAGATGAGATATATCAAGGACAGCAGTGTTCTCAGCAGACAATACCAACTGGTATTTTCCTTGGCTACAGAGTATTTAACTTGAAATTGTTAAACACCAACGGAGATCAGAATGTTCCTTTTCAAAGAGCCTGGTGTTTATATGAAACACAAAGACGGAACCTGTAAGATTACAGATCTTATTTTTCTTCTTTCCCCTAACTCTGTTTTAGCTGGAAACACCTAGACATTCCCTTTTTTTTTTGGTCACGGTGCCGCTGTTTTAGCTGGAAACACCTAGACATTCCTTTTTGTCACGGTGCCACAGCAGCAAGATCCTGCTGCTTATCTCTATGTCCTGCAATAAAGTCTCTCCTTTTTAATACATACGAAGGGGTGGTCATCTAAATTATTAAGATACAATGCATGGCAACACATCAAGGAAGCTCCCTTAAAGCAGTAGCATAGCTGTAGCAGTTGGGAAATGAAACAAAGGGCCACCATATGCATAGAATCATATAATAATTGAGTTGGAAGGGGCCTATAAGACCATCGGGTCCAACCCCCTGCTCAAGGCAGGAATACAAAACAAAACAAAAAAGCAGATCTGACAGATGATTGGCAATTTTCTCTTGAATGCCTCCAGCACTGGAATGCTCACAATCTCCCTAGGTCATTGGTTGCCTTGTTGTACTGCTCTAACAGTTAAGGTGTTTTTTCCTGATATTCAGCCTAAATCTGTAGCGTGAGCCCATACGTGTTATATTCACAAGTACATTTTTTTTTCAGCAGTGTAACACTATTAAGTTCTTTGGGGCTATTTGTTTGCTTAGGTATCTACTAATAAACCTTGCAGACAATTTCACAAAATGCACCTCTTCTTATTCAGTTATATAACAGACAACATGAGCAATTATAACAACAAAATGCTACAATTTTGTGCACTAAGACTTTGGCAACAGCACCAGTACAGAAACTGTTTGTCAAAACTGCAAAGTTCAAGTGTCCTTTTGAATTCGAATAAAAACACAAATTCAAAATATCTCCCTCAACTGCGTTGGGTATCCATAACTCTCCCTCAACTGGGTTGGGTATCCATAACTAGAAGAATCAGCCCTACATGCAGAGTCTTCAAAACCCTAGGCCAAGTTTACAAGGGTCTTAGCAGCTGAGTGGCAACAGCAGTTCCAGCCTCTTCAGCTCTCCTGCTCTTTTTAATTCAAATCTCTTACTCACAGCCTCACTCTTTCTTAGCAGGTACGTTGGCACGTCTTTGGGTCCAAGTCCAAATCCGAGTCCTTGGTACCAAGTACCTAGCAGGTACGTTGGCACGTCTTTGGGTCCTGTCCAAATCTGAGTCCTTGGTACCAAGTACCAACCCAAAGTCTGAATCCCTATTAAAAGCAAGCTCTTTTCTTTAAAAAGGGGGTGGGTGGGTTCTGAGTCATAAGTTGAGTCCAAGTCATTGGGGGGGGAAACTGAGTAGAGTCACCAGTGCAACTTAAGTCCGACTTGGCAGCAAGTCCCATGATTCAAGTCCCCATCCCTGTTTCTTAGTCCCACCCCTTTGAGATCAAACAATATTTCATAGAGATTACAAAAGTACACTAATACAATGGCTGAAATACAATAAGTCACAACTAGAGCAAGCTCAATGAATTTATGGAACTTATAGAAGAGTTGGCTCACCAGATCTCCACTGATTCAGTGGGCCTACTCTAGTTGTGACTTACTACTGGCTATCGGCCAATAAAAATGAGCCAGACATATCCAAAAACAGCACTTATGGGATCTGGAACCTCCTTTCCTTTCCTGAAAACACGGTAGCAGGATGCTCTGTGGTCATGTAAGTGGTCTAGAAAACATAAGTTGGCTAGGTTTAAACTCCGGTACTCAATTATGTGACCATCTCCAAAGTATAATGTCCAAATTCAAACACAGCAAAGATAGACAGCTTCTTATAATGGTCAAGAATGCGCCATCTGCTATTACCACATCTACTATTTACAACAGATATGGTGGGTAACATGACTTCTAACTTAACAGTAATCAAGACAAAACTTACTGCCATCAGAGTTGCTATTTTATAATTGACTTGTCTACAGAAACCGGCAAGGACGTTTCAACTATTACTCACGCTGATTGTGTTGGGTCCCTTCATCATTGTTTAGGCAGTCATTCATACCAGAATGAATGAGGCAAACAAAAAGCTAGATTTTAACAAAGATAGATGACCCAAATCCCAAATTCACATCAATATCTGCTTTGCCACTTGCACACATAAAACGAAAGTGTGAAATAAATTCAAGGTTCCATGGCCCAAAATAACCAACAGTTCACATAGAGTCCAGCTAATGTATCAAAGGGTTAACTGCAAATCAAATGTGAATTTACTTAGTTTGGTGCCCATTCACGGTGGAGCCTCATTTCCTCTGCTATGCCAATGTTCAAATATTTATGCAGTCAGACTTCTATTTCCTCCCTCCTCCATCTTCATATGATAAACATACTAAGAAAACTCTGTAAAGCTACCCATACTGGTAGTTCATAAAGCCTTAAGACAGGAAACAAAAAAGATGATGTGATCTTACCAATGACTGCGTACTCTTCTCATACGACTTCTGTTTAAATTACATAGGAAAGGAAATGGAATATTTGCAGCTACTTTCCACTGTGATAAAACTGGGAGGAAGCTATGAAATAACTACAGTGCCCTAACACAGGTAACGCAAATTCCAGGTCTTGTTGCTCAGACCAAGGAGCAAAGTTTGGATTTCTTCCAGATTGAGGCAAATACAAAAGAGCTGGTAGAAGTGGGTAAGTCCAACCCTTTATTCCTCCAAGCCATGAAAATG